GATCGCCCGAGTTTCGAGCGGCTTTTGCAGCGCATCTCGCGCTCAAGGACACGGACGAAGCGTTCACCAAGCAAGCTTTTCGCAAGGCGATTGCGTGCTCGCCAGCGCTTGGCCGATTGTTCCTCAACGACTGCGTCACGCTCGACCGTCGCGACATGCGGTTCAGTCAGGTACACAGCTCTTTTGACTATACTCATTCGTAGCGACTAACTATCAACTAACCGACTAGCTGGAGCACGTGTATGGTGTGACCGCCGACACGAGTGCGTTGCATGCAATTTTGAATTTGCAGTCCCCCGACCCAGCGCTGCTCCTCGACGCCAAGACCGAGTGTCTCGAGCATGTCGTAATGCTGCGTATTCTCCAGATCAAGTGGGAGCTCTTTGGCCAGCGCAAATACTTTGAGCAGCTGCTCATGAACGTCTTGCTCCTCGTCACGATGACCACGTCGTCGCTGCTCGTGGACGAGGCGAGTGTGGCGACCAACGGGATTCCGATGGTCGTCGGCACCTTGACGTTTGTCAGCGCGGCCGTTGGCTATTGCGTCTTGCAGCTGCTGCGTCCGGCGTCTCTCTACCGTCTCGCGCGCTACTGCTACGACGGTCAGCTCTCTCTGGACGTCTCGGCTCCGATCCCGCACCTCCCCAAGCACAAGGCTCGCGCCAGAGGGCTCTTGGTCCGAGCGTGGATGGGGCTGTCGCTATCGATAGCGGTGCCCGTCATGGCTGGGCTCCTCTTGTCGGGTGTCGCTGCTGCCTATCCCAGATGCAACCACCTCGTTCTCTGGTGCACGTCGCTCTACTTTGTCGTCACAGAGCTCGAAGAAATGGTCTCGTCGGGCATCAAAGTCTACTGGTCGTCGCGCGTCAACCAGGCACAGCTGGTCACCAACCTCGCCGTCTTGCTGGTCTTTGTGCCCATGAAGGTTGGCCTTCTTCCAGCATCGTCGGCCGTGCAGACGGGCGTCGGCGGCGCCATCACGATCGGTCTCTGGATGCTCTCGCTTCAGTTTCTCGAAGTCGTGCCGGCCGCCGGCTACCTCCTCCCGATGATGTCCAAGCTGCTCGACGACGTCCGAAACTTCTTCATCTTCTTCAGCGTCGTCCAAATGGGTCTCACGATCACGTTCTACCAGCTCTTCCGCGACCAGGACGTCGATGCGTTCAGCACTCTGGGGTCGTCCTTCGTGACCACGTACTTTGTTGCGTTTGGCCAACTGCCTCTGGACGCCCTCGATGCTTTTGACGCGACTGACGGGTTCCTCTCGAATTGCACGCTACTGCTGATGATGCTGCACTCGGCCGTGGTGTGCATTCTGCTGCTCAACGTCCTGCTCGCTATGATGAACCAGACGGTCGACGGCGGTCTCGAGAAGGCCAAAACCGAGGCGCTCACGAGCTACGCCCAGTGCATCCTGCGCTTGGAGCAGTCGATGCGCCTCGACGCCGACGGGACGCAAGCGCTGTTGCATCTGACCGACAGCAAGACCCACGCGCGGGTGCTCAACCCAATCTTCTCGGAGGTCGTCTCGAACCTCGACATCTCGATGCGACCCGAGCACGAAGCGTCGATTCGACATGACAACACGCGCAAGCAGCAGTGTAAGACGACGCTGGCGTCGCTTCAAGCTACCATCGCCGAGCACATTGGCGACGCCACGAAAAAGCTGCGCCGAGTCGAGCATTTCAGCACGGATCCCGAGATTCTCCGCGGGTTTCAACCCGAGTTGGACGCGATCGCGGCCGCCGAAGAGGCGCTCACGAGTCTGTTTGCCAAGGCGCACAAGCACCGCGGAGACGACGCGCCTGCCAAGCTCGAAGCGCTCAAGACAGGCATTCGCAATACAATTAGGACGCTCTCTGCAACGCTCGGCAAGGTGTGGGACGCGGAGACTGCGACGGCGACGAGCACCCGCACCGAATGTCTCTGCTTGTTGGGTCTCGTTGCGACGACGACGGTGCACAAGCTGGTAGATGACATGCTCAACAAGATCTGCGAGACGCAAAATAGCGCAGCTCTCAAAACCGAGGACCAGCGCCACCAAACAGCCGAGGAGAAGGAGAAGGACGCCTCAAGGGGCCGAATCCGCGATTTGCGGTTCGAGTTGCAAGCTCGATTTGCGTCGCTCGAGACGAAGCTCACCGAGCACAACCAGGCACTCCGCGAGCAAAACGAGGCGCTCGCGCGGCAGCTCACAACAGCGCTCGAGCAACTTGGTCGTGCACCCGAGTCGCCGATCCGCACGCAGTCCTTTCCCGTCCTGGACCCGCGCGAGCGTGAACGCAGCAGCGCCGATGCGGAGCACGATTCGCTCTAGGTAGCGACTGACACAATATGAAGTCAGTGGCTTGCACCGCCCTGGTTTTGGTTAGATACTCAGACCAAAAAATGGCGGGAACGACCCGTCCACCGTCAACGTGACGGTGGGACGTCATATCGACACCACGCCGACGAGCTTCCTCGTCGGACTTTGTCCCATTCATTAGGCGAAGACCTTTCAGGTGGAACTCTGCTTTCTAGATCTGGGATGGTGTCCAGATCGTTGTCGTTCTGGTGGATCTCGGACGTTCTTTTAATGTGTTCTTTTTCTATTTTTTCGTTCTTTTTATAAAAATGGTGTTCTTTAAAAGCGACCCTTGGCTTGAAGATTCTCGACTTTGCCCATTTCAAAATGGTCGTGGTCCAGATCAAGCTCGGCGAGCAAGACGGCTTCCTCTACGAGGCGACGTGCGCGACGCCCAACGACCATCTCGTGCGCGACCTCGTCCACGTGCACAACGCGCGCATCCGGCTCGCGAGCCTCAACGCGTACGTGCCCGGGCTCTTCACGCACGGCGTGGCCAAGCACCCGCAGAACCAAGGCATCGACTCGTATGCAACCGACCAAGTGCGCAAGGAAGAGTTCTACGAAGAGGACCCGCTCGGCCAGCGCACGGGCAATGGCGTGTGCCCGAGCCTGCGCGAGACGCTCGGGCGCATGGTCGAGGACGTCAAGGCGTACCTCAAGAGCAACATGCGCGAGCCAGTGCTGCTGCCAGCGCTCCAGGAGAAGCTCGACAACTTTCGCGGGATCGTCATGATGGGCTTTCCAATGGGCCTTCCCGAGTACGACATTGTCCAAATGCTCTTGGACGGCAACGACGAGGAGGCACTCGCGGGCCTGCAGGCGAGCCAGGACCTCATGGACCCGGCCACCGCCGAGCTCTGGTGGGCGGGCAAGCAGTTCTTCCGCGACGATACGGTCGGCGACCGCGTCGGAAAGAACGAGAAGACCAAGGTCATTGCGCGCCTCGCCCGCAAGAGCGGCGGTGCGCCGCAGCGCGAGCCGGCCGTGTCCGAGGACGAGCGCAAGGCCATGATGGCGCACTACTTCAAGAAGCAAGAGGAGCTCAAGAAGCTCGCGGACGAAGACGAAGACGACTACCTCCACTCGTCGTGGGCGAACCCGTCGGCGCTCAAGAACCAGCTCCGTGGCACCAACAACCTCCGCCCGTTCTAAGTACCCTGTGAACCAAATGATTTGTATAAACGCTAGCATTACGAGTTGGAATGGCGCAGGAGCGGCGCCAACGACACGGTGCGCTTGGGTGGAACCGAAGGCGCGTCGCTGTCACTGTCCTTCCTCCTCTCGAGTCGCTCGAGCGAAATCGTCCGCGTCGGCGCCAGCTGGACCGTCCCCGCGCGACTTACGAAATGAACGCTTGTGAGGCCGCTCGGCGATCGCGCGGCCAGCGGTTCCCGCACGGGCTCGGCCGCTAGGAGCTCTGTGACTTTGGCGACAAGCGCGGCTTCGTTGCTCTCGACAGGCGGAGCGGACTGGTCGATGGAAGCGGCCGACGAGTCTCGCAACGTCGAAGCGGCGTGTAAAATGGCTGCGACCGTGTCAGTCGTCACACGCGACACTACGACGGCAAGCGCCTCGCGCTCGTCGGCCTCTGACGACGAGGAGGGCACCGCATCGAGGGTATCGCTAGCAAGCACCTCGACTGCCGCCAGCATCAGGTCCGGTTCGACAGCGACCACCGTCGGCTCGGTTACGACAACCGCACTCGTCGGTTCTGCTGCAACGACATCGGGATCCTCGGCGCCCGACCCGTCGCCGTCGTCATCGTCCTCGTCCACGTGATCGTGAATGGGCGCCGCCGATGGTTGCGTCGCAGTGATGGCGTCGACGCGATCCAGAATGTCGTCGTCGATCGCACTCTGGATGCGCATGAGGCGGTGGCTGCTCGTGTCCAACAGCGCTCTCTCGTCCAGCACGAGCGTGCTCTCTACTACCAAAGGAGCACCCATGGCTTTCGAGAACGTTGTGCGCGTCTTGCGCGGCTCGATCACATCTGCCTCAGCGTCTACCACGAGCGGGGACCCAACCGGTTTGGAGAACGTGCTGCGCGTTTTCCGCGGACTTGACGGCGGACTGCTCCCTTCATTCTGGTCCAGCGACACGAGCGGCGTCCCGATCGCACCGGCGGGCTTGGAGAATGTCGGGCGCGACCGCCGAACGTTCGAGCCAAGCCGCGCATCCGACGACGTATCGTCGATCGGAGCTTCAACCACGACCAACGGCACGCCCGCCGGCTTGGAAAACGTTGCGCGCGTCCGGCGGGTGTTGCCGATCGGAGCTGGGCTTGTTGGCTCTGGCGCGCTTGAGGCTTCGAGGTTGAGCAGCGGCATGCCGGGTGCCCCCAGCTGCTTGGAGAACGTAATGCGCGTCTTGCGCCCAACAAGGGGCGTTGCTGTCTGCGGAGCGTCGCTCGCCGGAGGTGACGCTGTTATGTCGTTGCTAACGGGCAGCGTAAAGTCGCCGATGACACTGCCGTCGCTGCTTCGCATGGACACCCCGCGGAGGTTATCGGCGATCTTGACCAAATTCAAGCGCTTGTCCTTGGTGAGAATATCGCGCACGCACTTGTTGGTCGTCGCAACCACACGATCAATGTCGGCGCTGCGCAAGAGACTATGACAAAGGACATCGCAGTATGGTCCGGAGACGTACCCGGCGTTGATGAAGACCTCGAGCATGCGCCCGTCGCGCCGCTTGGCCGCCAAGTACAGTGGCGTCTCGTCGGCCGCATTGGCAATGTCAATGACGACGCCGGGGAGCGCCAGCAGCGCCTTGCAGCTCTCGATGCAGCCCTTGTCGGCGGCCATGTGCAGCGCTGTCATCCCGAGCGCGTTCACGACCTCACCGGGCGACGGCGTCGCTTTCACGAGCGCCACGCCGGCCGTGTCGTGGCCGTGTTTGAGCGCCGTGAGTAGCACCGTGTTGCCGTCTACAGCATCAACGTCTCGACTAAAATCCAAATTTTCATCCAACGTACCGGCGTCGACGCGATCTTTGGCGGCGCCGGCGCCGAGCAGCATCACGAGCACGTGCGTGTGGCCGTACATGGCTGCTGCAAAGAGCGGCGGCGGCGTCTTGCCCGGCGCCGGCGACGTATTGAGAAGCGCGTCCATGGAAAAGTCGGCTGCTGCAAGCGCCGCTTGAAGGAGAAGCCCAACGCACTCGAGGTGGCCGTTGGCGCACGCTGCAAGGAACGGCGAGAGCGACTGGTTCAAATCTGCTTGTGCGTTGTAGACGACGCCGACGGCGTTGACCAAGTGCAACTGCGGCGGCGACGGCGGCTGCAAAAGCAGCGCGACGATCGTGGCGAGGCCCTCGAGACAGGCGAGAAGGAGCGCCGAGACGTTCTTCTCGTTGACGAGGAGCGAGTCGGCGCCTTGCGAAAGCAAGTAGGCGGCGACGTCCGTCTGCGCGTACTGGCACGCATACACGAGCGGCGTGCTCTCCCACATGCCACGCACGTTGAGCAGCTCGGGGTTGGCGGCCAAGATGTCTGTCACCTCGTCCAACGCGCCCTTTTTCACTGCAGTCGCCATAAGCCTAGGCATCCTAATCAATGAAATGCATGGTACCGTGGCGCAAGAGGATGGCCGCGGGCGACTCGTCGCTGTTGGTCGGCGCCGGCTCCTACAAGGCGCGTGGATGATCGTGGCCAAGGCGGCGAGCGTACCGGCGCCGACGCGATTGCATTGGGAAGGCCGATGGCCGGCGACGGCGCCGCCTACACCAGCCTGAGCCATGCAGCATGGTCGATACGCTCTACCTGCGCGGCGACTGCCGTCGTCTTGACGGGGCTGCCAGGCGGCTCGGTGAACTGCGTCACGTTCGTCGACCTCGATGCACAGGCGCCCATGCCTTTTGCGCGTTACGCGCCGAAAACAGCACGGCCGTTTCCGGTGTCTACACGCACGCAACTTGGCCATCGCAATCGTCGTTTTCGTGTTGCGTGATAGTCACCGGCGCCATGCGGTCCCCGACAAGGCTCAAGTGGGTACGCCGTCGGGTCGCGCCGGCAAACAAACGGTCGGCAGCTCTCCAAATTGGCTCAAATTTGGGTGTTTTTGGTGCCCTGCCAGCTTCAAGCACATGGCCGTCGGCGCGGAAGAGGATCGGGCCGGACCGTCGCCCCGCCGCGTGGCCGCCGACCGCTCCCGAACGCTCTCTGATCCCGAATCTGACGACGCACTTCAACCTCAACGACCACCCACGGTCGCCATGTGGCGCGGCTTCGAGTACCGCTCGCTCGGGGCACGACCCCTGCAGCACAAGCCAAGGAATTCTTGCGGCGTCGCTTTTTTAAATATTTAAATAGGCGCGCGCGCCCGTACCAATGCGGGCGCGCGCGCAGCATGCAAGTCTATGCATTCTCGGTGGCCCAGTTGTAGAGCGTGTAGTTTTCGGTCGGGATGTCACGGCAGGCGCGGACAAAGAGCATCTCTTCGACGCTCGGGCGCGCGATCGGCGAGATCGACCGGTCAATGTCCTCGGCGGTGCCCACGCACACGTCGTCCGAGAACGACACCTTGCGCACGCGCTCGAGCATCTCTTCGTCGTCGCTCTCAGCTTGGTTCGACTCGTAGCGCTGGTTGTTGACTTTCGAGAGAATGCCACGGCGGCTCTCTTTCGCAATGAGGCGCGTCGTCGCTTCGACCTTGGCGAGGATGCGGAACGCGCAGCCATACTGCTGCAGGTCCATGCAGCGCTTGGCGAGCACATAGGATTTCTGGACAAAGGCCATCGCGTCGGCGAGCTCTTCCGGCGACTTGAGCTCGTGGTCGCCGACGTCCTGCGGCGTCATCTTGCGGCGCTTCTCGGGCGACGCGAGCGGCGCGTCCACGCGCTGATGGCCCGCGACGACCTGGAGCTTGGGAGACATGGACAAATTTTGGAGCAAAATCGCAAATACTCAAGCAATTTCTCGAAGTGGCCAGTCCGGATACAAGTATCGTATCCGGCATGCAAGCCGTGATCGTGTCGAGGCCGTAATAGAATACAGCGTTGGAATATTTTTTATATTTTTGAATCGTATTTTAAAAAAGTCGCACGAGTGCGTCGGGAGTGGTCGACGAATAATTTAAAAAATGCATCCCGCGCCTTTTATTATTGCAAGCTCCTCGGCGTATTGTATTTGAGGCAGCGTCGACGGTGATGGACCTGGGTGCTGTGCTAAAAAAACACTCGCACGTGGCATTTCTATAACCGCGCGGTACGCGGGGAATAGACACCAGAAGTATTATAATTTTTCGTTTTTTAAATACAACGAATATATCATAATTTGGGGAGAGGCATTTTATTTTATTATTTGATGTAGAATCTGGAGCCCAGGGTCGGTCGTTGACTGCAAGCAGATGGCCGACCGCCGACGTCAGCGGACCATGCAATTATCGAAGCTTCGCGCGATAAGAAAGGGCGAACCAAGCTGTAGCGAAGTAGGGACTGGAGGAGCGAGACAGTCCCGGGCTTTGGTTCGCAGACGCTCCTCGTGCACAGAGTCCTATACTCGACTGATTGAAGATGACTAACTAATTACATATCGATTTTGCGATGCGAGATGCACTGGCGTCAGCCATTTCGAGCCACCCACGCGTTCGGATGCTCAAATAAAACGGACGGCCATGACGTGGCACCACCGCAGCGCGCGCCAATGGGTGGCGACGGACTTGTCAAGATCGGGCCAGATTCGCTCCGACAAGCGCGCTCGATGCTGCTTCTCGACGGAAGCAGCGCGAGACCGCGGTGTCGATACAGGATTCGCGGTGCAGAGGTGGACGTCGATCCTGCTCGGTGCAGAGGTAGCTACCGCGGAGGAAGCTTGGCACACGATCTCCGGCGACGGTGTAGTTGATAGGGTATCCAAACGAGTGGCTCTGCGTCAGGTTCTAGAAGGTCGAATCATGGGCTTCGATGCTACTGCTAGTCCATTGACCTCAACCGAGTCGGTTGAGATACGACCTACTCTTAAGATCGAATACGATCTGGGGCGGCGTACAGGTATGTGAACACTCGATGCACATTTGGGGTATCAACAATTGCGGGACTACTTTGTCGACGGGAGTTTTACAGCTTGTTGAAAAACTCGGCCGGGTGCTGGGGCCCGTCGGCCTCGGGGCGCGCGTCCGGGTTCTCGAAGGCCTCGTGCACGTCGAGAGGGGCCTTGGGCGGCGCCTACGCAAGTACGCGCTATGCGACTGTGACACACGCGTCGTCGACGTACGTGGTGGAAGGGCACGCTCGGCACGGGCTCGATCTGGCGCAGCTGCTCAAACAAGCGCTCCTACATCAATTCAGCATCCACCCAAATGGCCGACGCGTACCTTCATGTCGTGGAGGTAGCTGGGCGTGTTGAGGTTCTCCATGTTGCTCACAGGCATGTGCACGCGGTACTCGGGCCCAAAGTACTCAAAGTAGTCGTTGTACGGCATCGCATCCTAGAGTCTCGTCGTCAGACTTCCGACTTCAGTTGCGAAGCTACCGGGATCTCGACGCCGAGCGCCACGGACGTCTCGTAGCACCAGCAGCGCGGCACGTTCCGGAGCGTGTAGCCACCGCCGCCCAGCACGAGCATCGGGATGTTGAACGACTTGACAAACGCAACGCAATCGCCGTGGCCCTTGACGCTGAGGTTGAAGCAGCCGAGACGGTCGCCCGAGAGCGAGTCGGCGCCGCACTGGAGCACGACGGCCCCTGGCGCAAAGTGCTCCATGACCTTGGAGATGACCTAATCTCAAAGCGTTGAGAGGTGCGAAGGACGCTGCGAGCGTACCGCACGGAAGATGGACGTGAAGCTCTCGTCGTCCATGCCATCGCGGCATGGGAAGTTGACCGAGTAGTTCTTGCCTTCGCCGTACCCAACGTCCTATGAAGATGACATTGGCGCATGAGACGCGATCGATGTCTACCTTGATGTCGCCGGTGCCAGGGAAATACTCGCCATACTTGTGGAACGAGACCGTCATGACGCGGTTGGTCGTGTAGAAGGCCTCTTCGACGCCATCGCCGTGGTGGATGTCGATGTCAATGTACAGCACCCGCGCGTGCTCCCTAGTACGATCAGCCTCTACGTTCTCATTGCTGCAAAGTTGGAGTTTATGTACTTGAGCAGTTCGAGGATGCCGAGGACGCAGTCGTTCACGTAGCAAAAGCCGGACGCTTCCGAGCGCTTGGCGTGGTGCAAGCCGCCGCCCCAGTTGATGACAATGTCGGCGCTCTTGTCGTTGAGGCGCGCGGCGCCGCCGATCGAGCCGCTGGCCGAGAGCTGGCAAAACTCAAAGAGGCCGTCAAAGACCGGGCAGTCTTCGCCGACGTTGAAGCGCTGGAGCTGGCGCAGGTAGTTGTGCATGTTGTCGGGCGTGACTGTGCGCAGAAAGTGAATGTAGTCGTCCGAGTGGAAGCGCGTGAGGTCTTCCCAGCCCACGAGTTGAGGCCGCTACACCATTGCTGTGACATGAGCGCCATGGACCGATGCGAGCAAATGCATACAAAGATGCGCATGTGCTTGGTCAAGCCGTAGTTGGTCACGAGGTTGTGCGTCATGCGCACGCGGTGCGGCTAACCATACCACGTCAGCGGCCAGTGTCGTTGCCGGCGCGTACCTTCATCGGGTGGTTGGGGCCGTAGTGGTAGTTGCCAATCTCGGCTACGTAGCGAGCCATGAACATTGCGCCACCGTACAAAGAGGCGGCTACAGTCGTAGAAGTAGGACACGCGCTTCTTCACGGTGCCATGCACGTCCGCCATGGTCACTGGCATCGTCGCGGCCTCTGCTTTGCTCCAACGCCAAATGTATGGGATCTCGGAGGCTCGCACACTATTTCAGTGCATCGAAGCACTTTTAGCGTTGCGGCAACGATGGACCTGCAAGCTCCTGACGTTGTCCTTGGTCACTGCCTCTATGTGATGCCAAGACTGCGACGTAGCCTTGCCTGAGGCCCTTGTTTCTACAGCATTGTACGTATCGACTGTCATACAGCCCTGAGATCTCCAAGCAAGATACCTCCATTGTAGCCTCGAGTTTCCTGCAGTTCAGACAGCCCATGGACCCTGTACGTGATGCACTGGAAACTGCACTAGATTGCAAGTGTGCACAGAGACTGTGGAGGTCCTGGCGCTCGGCGCGGCTCCAAGGTATTGAAACAGCAGCATGCGTGTCAACGAGACGCACACTATTTCCGTGGATCCGCTGGTTCAACTATCAATTGCCGGAGATCTTATCGAATACCAGAGGTTTTATGTGAACGTCAACATTATGGAACGTTGAAGGATATGCATAAAGAAGGTAGTCGACCACGGTCATGGAGGTCGAGACCGCAACCGCCAAGCCCGCGTCGAGCCGGCTCTCGTACGCCGACATCTTCCAGCTCTTCCACGCCGAAGATGCAGGAAGCGCAGAGAAGCTCCTAGCGGAGTACGAAGCCGTGCGCCTGGACGCCAAGGAGAATGGCGGCTCTGTCTTTGGCGACGACGAGGTGGCAGCGTGTCGTAGCATCCACTGGGTCTCACGCCTGCTATGCATTCTAGTCGAGCGACGAAGATGGGCCTCGTACGCCGTCGTCGCGTAGCCAGTCTAGCTCAAGCAACCAAGCCCGGCGAGCGAACGACGCGTCCAACAAGCGGCCACACGTACGGACCCGACGTCGATCGCACGATCTCATGGCGTATGTCTAGTCGCAAATCTCGGACGATGGCCCTCGCGCGTATGGGCGCGGGCGCATGGCGGCGCAGTCAGGCCGGCAGCCCAAGGTGAAAAAGTCCAAGCTCATGCAAAAGCTCACGGGCCGCAAGAACGGACGACCAATTGTTTAACACGAGCTCATAGCTCGCGATGCTTGCGCTCGTCTACCTCGTCCTTGCATGTGCAGCTACACCCAGCATCTCGCGATGGGCACAGCGACTGTAGTCTCTTGGCCACTGTGGAGGACAGCCCCCAGAATCGTAGGCTGCACTCGTAGCTTCGCTGGTCAATCCCTAAAGGGCCATCGAGACGAGCCAAAACGCACTAGCCCGGACAATTCTAGCTTCTACTCGCTCATCCCAGAGGAGCTATTGAGCAAGGAGCTGGCATGGCGGTCGCAGCAAGGAGCGCCGTGGTCCTCGGCTGTCCGGACGCTCGTCGCGCAGACACGTATGCGATTGGTCGAAACTTCCAATCCGCCGGGCGTTGATTGGCTAAAATAGAATTTTACGTGAGGCCATATTCTCAAAGACATTGGACGGTCGAGATGGACGTACTCGACGACTGCGAGGTCGCGCTCAAGGCCGGTGGCAGCGGCCAGGAGACCGCCATCAACGACATCCTTGACCTGCTCAGCGCTCCAGCCGAAGGAGCGCCGGACGCCGTGAAGAGCCGTGCGGCGCAGATCCTCGCTGCAAACTTCAATGAGGTCGCGGACATGGCCGATCGCATCGTCGAGACGCTCGTGGGCATGGGCGCGGCCGGTACCAAGCACGCGACATCCGTGCGCATCCACACGATCGTGAGCTTGTCTAATATCGTCAAGCACGCAACCGAGCCCTTGGCGCCGGCGGCCCTTGAGCAGATTCGCGACTTTGCCTCCGCGACGCTCTCGACCGAAACCAGCGGCGTCATTGTGCGCCACCTCACGGGCTTGACCAAACTCGTCGGAAGACCAAGCGCGATCAAGGCCAAAGTCGCTTCTCCTCCTACTACGCCCAAGCAGGACGTCGCGCCAACGCCGTCGCCGTCGCCCTCCCCGCCCCGTACGACGGACGCGTCGCCTTGCGCCGAGTCTGGCCGCCTCGATGCGCCGCTCACGGCAGAAGAGGTGCTGCAGCGTGAGAGTGAGGCACGGCGCGAGAAGTTCCGTCTCGAAGAGAAGCGCCGCCAGGATAGGCGAAAAGGTACGATTCTCCATCTCGCGTCTCTTGGCTGACAACAGAGTAGAGCTTGCCGTGCCGCCGACGCCGTATCTGTACATTCGCCACTTCCCGAGCGAAGCGACGCCTGCGCAGTTTGCCACGTACTTTAACCACGTGGACCCAGGCATGATGCCACGCGACGTGGTGCTGCACTTGGCCAACGGCGCACGCCACGCGTTTGTCAAGTTTGGGACCACCGAGCTCGCGACGAAAGCGATCGCGCTCTCGGCGGAGAAGGCCTTTGACGAGACTTTTTGGCTGCCGGTCGCCTACGCGCGCGGCCCGATCGTCTCGACTGTTGACTTTCACATTTACGGCAGCTCGTTCCCGACCGACTGGACGAAGCACAGTACGCTGTGGGCGCACACGGTCTCGCACTTTGCGCGCAAGTACGGCAGCAATAGCAGTCACTGGGCCGTCCGGTCGCCCGGCGTCATTTGGTTTGCGTCCAAGTCGATCACGCAGCACCTCGTCTTGAAGGGCGTCCAGATCGACGACAAGCAGCTCGTCGTTGTTTACAACGTGGCCGACCAGCGCCGCGGCGACGGGCGCATCGGTAGCACGGCCCCTTTGCAGCTTGTTCTGAGCGTTTGACGCTAGGCGACCGCACCTCGGACGATGGCAAGAACAGATCCGACGACCGCGAGCGCAAACTCGACCCGCCGCCGCGCGCCAACGAGCCGTCGTCGCGTCGGTACGGCGAGCCCGAAATGTCGCGGTATGGTCCAGTTGGCGGCAAGGACGACCGCCGGTCCGGCTCGGAGCGCGACCGCAGTCCCGTGCGCAAGCCAACGGTGGGCGAGCTGGCCAAGGAGCGGTCGCGGTCGCGGGACCGACGTGCTTCCCCAGAGCGCATGCGTCGCGCCAGTCCACCGCGTGGCCGCCCGGCTGCGCGGTCGCGGTCGCGAGATGGCCCCATGCGTCGGTCGCCGCCTCCGATGCGTCGGTCGCCACCACCGATGCGCCCGTCGGTGCGAACGTTGGCGCGGTCGCCGGAGCGTTCCGCTCGACGGTCACGATCGCCCGTGCGCCCCGCTATGCGGTCCCCGGTACGTCCGCGCTCGCCCATGCGTCGGTCTCCGGTGCGCCAGCGCTCGCCGCCGCGTCGGTCGCCGATGCGTCCGCGCTCGCCCATGCGCCGGTCGCCCATGCGGCGGTCGGTCGGCCGTCCACGCTCGCCCATGCGTCGATCGCCCATGCGCCCACCGTCGCCCGGCCGTCCACGCTCGCCCATGCGTCGGTCGCCGCAACCGCACGTGCGTCCGCGGTCTCCGATGCGCCGGTCTCCGGTGCGTCAGCCGTCGCCGCCCCGCTCTCTTCCGATGCGGTCGCGATCGCGGTCGCCCATGCCCAATCCGGATCGTCGATCGCGCTCCCGGGAGCAGCGGCGTCTCGGGTCGCCGATGATCCAGCAAGGCCGCCGGTCGCCGGGTCGCGCGCCACCGAGTCGGCCTCGGACACCGTCGCCGCGTCGCGACGTCCCTCGCCCGCAGCGGTCCCGGTCCCGCGACCTCGAGCGGCGCGAGAGCAGCCTGCGCAACTCGCCGCGCCCGGCCACACCCGAGCGCCGCCCCTCGCTGCGGGATGACGTGAGCCGAAGGGACCGCGTCGAAGTGCTGCGCCAAGAAGAAGGGCGGGTGCTGCCCCGCACCAATTCGGCGCGGTCTCAGCGATCGCGGTCGCGGTCCCGCCCCGCCCGGAGCGCGGCGGCCCGACCGAGCTCCAGTGCGAGTGACGTGGCCAAGCCGACGACAACGATCAAGGCCGAGGCGCGGGACACGCGGTCGCTGGCCGAAATCGCGCGCGAGGCGGCGGCGAAGCGCCCGTCGATCTCGGAGACGCACAACGTGGTGCGCGAGCAGCCGGACTACAGTAACGTGGTCTTTGACCCGCTGCCGGTGGCCAAGGAAGACGGCCCGATCATGGCGCCGTTGCTGCAGTCGCTGCGCCAGAGCGGTAACGACACGCCGCGGTCGGTCGCCTCGGACGACAGCTCGTCGCTCTCGATCAAGAGCCTCCTCAACCCCAAGCCCGTGCGTCGGGGCGTCGAGCTGGACGAGCTGGCCGTCGACTATGATGATGACGACGACGAGTAGACGCATGCCAGCCGCAGCATTTATACCCCTTATATAGCCCAACCCTATATCCCTTCTAGTCCCTTCTAGACGACACATACGTAGGAGTAGTGGCATTTAGGGTACACGGAGACGATCTACGAGGCATTGATGTACTTCTTGAACGGCGCGATCGGGAGCTCGTGGGACGTCTTGGCGACCGGGTGGAAGAGGCCGGCGGGGCGCGGCAGGAGCGCCATGTCGGCGATCGAGCCCTTGACGAAGTTCATCGTCCGCAGCGCTTGGCGCGAGACCGAGTCCCAAACGCGCACGACGCCGTCGTCGTCGCCCGAGATGACAAAGCGCCCGCAGAGGCTTACGACGAGCGTCGTCACCGGGTGTTCGTGGCCGACAAAGCCGTCGGCGCTCAGCGTCTCTTGCGAGAACGGCGCGCCGTCCGCCGCCAGCACGACGCGGGCGTGGGCCGCGGTCGCAGCTGTCGCGGCCGCGTGCAGATCGACGACGTAGATGCGGCCGTCGCCGGCGCCGAGGAAGAGGCGGTGCTCCATCGCATCGGGCACGACCACGTTGACGTACGAAGGGCACGTGACCGAGACGAGCGCCCGGCCGTGCACGATGTCCCACACTTTGGCCGTGCGGTCGAGCGACGCAGTGAAGATGCGCCCGCCAAAGCCGCAGTGCACATGCGTGATCGGGAGCACGTGGTCGGTCCACGTGTGCAATGGCGAGAGCCCTTGGTTGAGCGTCGAGCCTTCGTGGGACGCGTCGAGGATGTCGAGGAGGCGCCACACGTGCACGACGGCGTCTTCGCCGCCCGAGACAAGGAACGCGTCGTCCGGCGTCAAGGCGAGCGCCGAGACCTAGGCGTCATGCGGAACTCCGACAATATGATGAGATGGATGGTCGTACCGCCTTGTAGTGGCCGTCCCAGACGTGAAGGAGCGCGCCGGTCGCGACGCACCAGACGTAGATCTTGCCGGAGGCGCCGCCGGCGATGCAGAAGTTGCCGTCGCGCGTCGCGATGAGCGGGCCCATGGGCTCAGTCACGTGGCACTTGAGCGTCGGGACGTCCTTGCCCCACATGTGCATGTGCAGCGCGAGCTTGCCGGGCTGGATCGTGATGAGATGGCCGGTGCGGGGCACGACGGCGAGGCCATGGCGCGCGCAGGAGGAGCCCTTGAAGAGGAAGAGCTGCGACGAGCACGACGGGTCGACGACGTACACGTTGCCGTCCTTGCTCGAGCCGAGGACGAGCACTTGATCTTCCATCTTATTTGATTGTTGCTGGCCAATTGATGCTCGCGAGACCGGGTGGGGGTCCTACCCCTTTCACTTTTGTGTTTTTATCACCTGTGGTATGTATGCTATTTTCATTTTGTGCATATTTTATAAGGGGGACCTCGACCCATGGTAGGCCTGCGTCTTGGCGCCATCTGCATCAGCACCACCGACGCAACCCCTTGCTGCAACCGAACGGTTCGTCCAGCCGACTCGAGCCACCACCGGGATATCGGAAGGCTCTCTTAACGACCCTCGATTCGTAGTCTCCTATTGCTAGTCGCTCGGACTCCAAGTCTCGTAGCTGTACTCCAGCCGTCGCAGAGTAGCTCCTTGAACCCTTCTGGGAGTCTAATGCTCAATAGCGTCCACAATGACTAGTCGTAACGGAGATCTCGTCGCTCGCTGTGCTTCACGGCTGAAGACGCAGTAGAATGACTCTAGTCGCAAGGAATAAACTAAAATATTACATGAGCCCAACGCTAGATGCTTCAAGCATCGACATCGGAGAGATAGGACATGGCTGCTCGTGCAACTGCCCACGTCATCCATGCGAGTGATCGCGCAAGGACGCCGCTTCGCTCGAAGAAGAAGGTCTGGGCATCCTACCCTTCGTCCGCTGCGCCGCGAGTACCGTCACGTGGCGACGACAGCGCTCGTTAGCTACCTCTGGACCGGCGAGCGGTTCGGTCCGACGACTGGTATGGGCGACCATCGCGGGACCTTCCTCCTACCCTCCATCTCCATGCTCATCCTCTGTCTGCCAACGACCACTGCCCCGGAGGCGACTCGTGCATGGTCGACGACGTGTGGGCTGCTCGTGGCAAATTGGGCACTGGAAGTTTCAACCTCTGAAAACAAATACATATGGCCTATACTGCGACAGTCGATACACCCGCGGTCAAGCTTCCAGCTCATTCACCAAGTTGCGAGCCAGCATGCCACTGGCGTATGCTGATGCGCTGGGTACGCCCAAGAAGCGCGTCTCGTACTTCTACGACTGTACGTCCTTGCTAATCTTGCTCGTGGTGTTCATGCAGGTGGCGTAGCGGAGATCGGCAACTTTAGCTACGGGCCTGGGCACTGCTGGAAGGTACTCGAGCACACTCGTGCGCAGAGATCCGCTCACGCATCGTAGCCGCACCGCGTGCGCATCACGCACAACCTGATTGTCAACTACGGCCTCGCCAAGCACATGCACGTCTTTGTACGCTGCCTCAAGATCGTCCTCCTCCACTCCGATCTTATGGCATGGTGTATAGCGGCCAGCGCTCGTTGGGGTCGAGGACCTCACGCGCTTCCACTCGGACGACTACATTCAGTTTCTGCGCACAGTCACGCCCGACAACATGCACGAGCACTACCGCCAGCTGCAGCGGTTTGCGTTCAACGACGGCGGCGACTGCCCCGTCTTTGATGGCATGTACGAGTTTTGCCAGATCGCTGCGACAGGCTCGATCGGCGGCGCCGCGCGCCTCAACGACAAGAGCGCCGACATTGCCATCAACTGGGGCGGCGGCATGCACCACGCCAAGCGCTCGGAAGCGTCCGGCTTTTGCTTTGTCAATGACTGCAACCTCGGGATCCTCGAACTCCTCAAGTAGGATGATGATGACGCAAGGGTCGCCCATATAGCAATCGCTGACGTGACCCTACGACCCACTAGGGAGCACGCGCGGGTGCTGTACATTGATATCGACGTACACCACGGCGACGGCGTCGAAGAGGCCTTCTACACGACCAACCGCGTCATGACGGTCTCGTTCCACAAGTATGGCGGCGTCTTCTTCCCGTGCACGGGCAACGTCAAGGTAGAGGCATACCTCTGCAAAATAGGCGGCAAAGCTTTTACGTATAGGACATTGGGTACGGCGAAGGCAAGAACTACGCAGTCAACGTGCCGTGTCATGACGGCATGGACGACGAGAGCTTCATCGGCCTCTTCCGCGATGTACGTCCGCATGGCCTGGATGTTGTGACGACGCGACGAGCCGTTAGGTCATCTCCAAGGTCATGGAGCACTACGCGCCTGGGGCGATCGTACTTCAATGCGGCGCCGACTCGCTCTCGGGCGACCGCCTCGGCTGCT